TCTAACTAAATGGTGCTCAAAGCATAAGTTACCACCATCATCAAGGCTTCCTATTTCTGTAGGATCATAACTGGCACACCAGCGAAAGCCAATCAAGGACCTCCATGGCTATAACTTCCACCTGCCATTTGAACAGCGGCTGCAAGTCCAGGAGAACTTCTAGTTCACAAGCTCCATGTTCATCAGGAGTACAACTCCCTCTGTATAATTATTATGGTCAAAGTTTCTGAATGCTGATTGATGAAAAAGCAATTTGTTTTTGGAGTCAGTCTGAATCTATTTCACCACATCCAGACTTAACAGCTTCCAAGAACAAGTTTCAAGCTTTCCTTTATGTTATAAATATGGGTGCACATTTGGAAATTATAATTTAAATAAAATGTAATACTTTACACCTGAGTGGAGAATTTGTGATTATATTATCTCTCTGTGTATGTGTGTGCGCTAAATCAGGCATCCGGATATTCACCGTGATAGGCAATTTCAGAACCTTTATTCTATCTTTGTATGGTTCATTATCCTTAAACAAATGTTAGTCTGTGCACTCTATCAAAAAAGGATAAGGCCTCAAATGGAGACAGTCTTCAGATAGCTCTTCATACAGAATGCTCTCCTCTTCAAATTAGAATACATGGCTGTCCAATTTCCAGTTCATTCAAGGATATGTTATGTAAAGAAATAATATGTAAGAGGAAATGAGTTTGATTTAATGCTGACAAGTACTGTTTTGAACGTTGTGATAATCACAGTCCTGTCATTTGAATGTCATGATTGGGAAAAAATGATTACTGTGATTGACTTTGCTTCCAAGGAGGAATGAATGGAGAATATAGAGAAACTAATTTCACCCTGGTTTTCTAAAACTCCTTGTTATCTGAACTCATGTATCCTTCCTATTTGTTTTCTCTGACTGTAGCCTTGTAGAAGGATAACTCCTCTGAATGGTTTATTAGCAGGTGATGTGGGCCAAGGAGGTAAATGAAATGTAGACTGTGTGATCTTTCTTGGTTAATTACACTGAGATGGACTGGGTAGATGAAAAAGTAATCAATAAGTCTACAAAAATAAAATAATTCTAGCATGGGAGACAATAGTATGGTTGCTTTATAAAAAGTTCCTTAGAAACACGAGGATTGATGTAATCTAGTTTGACATTAAACATATGTTTGCCTGAATGGATTTTTTTTTTCTCTGTAAAGAGAGGAGGAATTTAATGACCACATTAATCCATCTCAATCACTTTGTGGCCACTGTGGTATTCATCTGAATCAAATTTATCAGTTTGGGGTATAGAGGTATATTAATGCTGTTTTATCTGCACACTCAATTTGAAAGGATTGAGTGGTATTTTTTTTTTTTTATTTGATGTATATGCCGCCCTTCTCCGGAGACTCAGGGTGGCTTACAGTGCATTAAGCAATATTGATGTTATCTCAAACATAGCTTTAATTGAGGGGTCTTCTTCCATCAGAACTAGCACTGAAGATGTTACCTAGTTTGGGTAATGAAACATCTGCGAGCTCAGAAACACCTGCAAGCTCAGAGAGCACCAAGGACCCCTCATTTCAACCCTGAGTTACAAATATTCTCCTTTTTTGATATCTGTAATTTTGCAGCAGGAAGCTCACCCCATTGAGTTTCTGTGTTTATGTCCCTCTTTTTTATTTCCCTGGACTTAGACCATACTGCGGAACAAGTGGTGGGATTCAGGTAATTTAACAACCGGTTCTCTGCCCTAATGATTTCTTCCAACAAACAGTTTGCCAAACTGCTCAGAAAATTAACAACCGGTTCTCCCGAAGTGGTGCGAACTGGCTGAATCCCACCACTGTGCGGAACATAGAATAATAGAGTTGGAGGGACCTTGAAGGTCTTCTAGTTATCTTGGATGACTAGAAGACCTTCAGGGCTTGCACAGGTATGATGAGATGCCAATGTAGGCTCCAAACCATCTTTTCCTATTTTGAATCCAGATTGCTGACTAGCTTTGAAACATATACAATGGTGTGTATTTTTTAATAATATTGCTCCATGAAGACACAATAGGTGGACTTTATTAAATATACTGAAGAGGTAAACTTACTAAATATTCTGTGCTCAGTTCTCTTGTACTTTTTATCAGCTATTTTAGTGATAGATGCCAGTTGTTTTCAAACATATCATTTAAAATACGTTTAATGATAGGGGAAATTTGGCTGCTTCACATTTTGGAACTGAACCCTTTAAAAATTAAGTTCTTTTTTCCCCCATCTAATAATGCCGTCTGTTATTCCAAATTACAGCTGTTTGGAATAATCACCAAGCTAACATATCATTTCATATATAACAAGAGATTATATAACAAGAGATTATTAAGAACAAGTTTTGTTTATAAAGATACAACAAAGAACAAACTGAATGTCCTCTTCAACCTTTCTAAGAAATAATAATTTATACCAGACTGTCTAACTCCTCCTGCTCACATTTCTGATTGTGCAAAATATGTGCTTTTGTTTTCATTCTTAGTATTTAAGACAGCTCAGATTGCTTTTTTAGTGTCATGGATGCACTGGAAAAGTCTTTCCTGTATTTGAAGACTTTTTTCAGGTAAATCTTATTTCTGTATTTACTACTTATTGGAACTCAGCATTATGTTTCCATGGAAGAGCATTGCAGAATTAAATCAGAGCTCCATCTGTCTATGAGCCGAGGCGGCGCAGTGGTTAGAGTGCAGTACTGCAGCTACTTCAGCTGACTGCTAGTTCAGCAGATCAGCGGATCAAATTTCACCGGCTCAAGGTTGACTCAGCCTTTCATCCTTCCGAGGTGGGTAAAATGAGGACCCAGATTGTTAGGGAGCAATATGCTATTTAGTATACTGTCTTTGGTGTAAGCCACCCAGAGTCCTCAGAGAGTGGGCGGCATAGAAATATGACTAATAATAATAATAATAAAATAATAATAATATTGTCTTTCCATGTCTAGCTAGTTTCGAGAAAGTAACCAAGAGGGCAGAATGCAATTTTGTTTCCTGATGGTTTATTGATAATATCATGTTCAGATTTGTTCTTTATACACTTTATAAAACCTTAGTAAGACCACTTGGAATATTGCATCCAGTTTTGGTTGCACATTATAAAAAAGATGTTGAGATGCTAGAAAGAGTGCAGAGAAGAGCAATAAAGATGATTAGGGACTAGAGGCCAAAACGTATGAAGAACAGTATCTAGTTTAATGAAACGAAGGACTAGGGAGCAGTGTTACAATATCTAAAGGGCTGCCACAAAGAAGAGGGGTGTCAACCTACCCTCCAAAGTACAAGAAGCAATGGATGGAAACTAATCAAGGATAGAACTAACCTAGAACGAAGGATAAATTTCCTTAGTTAGAACAATTAGAACAATTAATCAGTGGAACAACTTGCTTCCAGAAGTTGTGGGTGCTCCAAAACTGCAAGAGATTGGAAAACTATTTGTCTGAAATGCTATAGGATTTCCTGCTTGAGCAGGGGATTGAACTAGAAGTCCTCCAAGCTCCCTTCCAACTCTGTTATTCTATCATCAAGATATTTAGAGTTCTGGATGATATACAACAGCTCTTTACCTTCTTTCTACGTTCTACTAAGAGAAGCTGAACAACTGCTTGACAGTTTCCTAGAGGCTATAATGAAATGGATGTCAGTCAGTAAATTGAAACTAAATTCACATAAGGTAGAAGTACTGTGGTAGGCAGTTTTCCGATTGGAGAATTGGGAAAATAGATAATGGACAAGGTAGCATACTCATCAAAGAAGCAGATGTGTAACTGGTGGTTTATCCTTTAGTTTATCCTTTAGTCAAGTCTATAACTTGAGATACAAATGATCTCAGTGATGAGAAGCCCTATATCCACATTTGCTGGTTTGCCAGTTATGACTCTGCAAACTGATATCATCTCGTTTCAGTAATTCATGTCTAATACACTCTCAATTGAGTTCTTACAATGAACTTTAAATGGAGTTGTATTTTGGTTTAAAGTTGAGGTTTTTGTTACTCTTCACAATATTTTTGCTGTATAAATTAAATGTGAGCAGAGGGGTTCCGGAGGTATAAATAGAACTCTCTTGGGCCCAAAGCAAACCTCTCAATTTCCTCCTTTCCAATATTAGTCATCAGGAGTTGATGGCTGTATTTGTGAGAGCAGACTTGTTCTGGTTTTGGTCTCATATATACAAGAGCCTTGACAGTACAATTGTTTAGTGCACCCTGTTATTAACACAGCTGCCTGCAATTTCTGCTGGTTCGAATCTCTCCAAGGCTCAAGGTTGACTCAGCCTTCCATCCTTTCTAAGGTAGGTGAAATGAGGACCCAGTTTGTGGGGGCAATAAGCTGACTTTGTATAAAATATACAAAAGAATGAAGGCTATTGCTTATCGCATTGTAAGCCGCCCTGAGTCTCCGGAGAAGGGCGGCATATAAATCAAATAAAAAAAAAAAGTGATTATTGGGGGCAGAAGGAGAGCAGAAGAGCAGCCTAGGATGGTCTTGAGTGGTGAAGCAGTACCCCTACAAGAGCTATTAAATCTGGCTTGCAAAAACATGATGATCAATAGATGTCTGGAAAGAGGGTTTCTTTGTATACCTGAGGGTAGACAAAGACCTTCTGCCTATGGTTCTGTCCTATTTCCATGCCATTCTGGCAATTGCCTAGGTTTCTCTATGGAAGTGTGGTTTCTTTGCAGCAAACCATGGCCAGAGTTGAGTTGTGAAGGCTTGGCTGGAGCTCCTGGCTGCCATCCCTCCCTTGACTGTGTGTGACTCACTGATCTTCATGGCTGGGGAAGACTGTGACGATTTCAGCTCTAAGCTTGACACATTGATATATTTTCTATCAGGACTTTTGTTAGCCTGAGGCGACTGTGCTTCATACGGTTCTATGAATCAGCATTGCTCAAAATCCCTGGTTTTGTTCCTTTTGCAATTTAGTAAATTCATACATACGAACAACCTTCACCACAACTTTTCTATTTTTGCAATTTCAGGCATGCTGTCCTTCCTTCTAATTCAAATTTTGCTGTCTATTGTCTCTTGGGGTCCTGTGAGTATGACAGCCATCCTTAGCTTTTCTCCCTACCAGCTGTTCACAATGGAGTCACTCAGCAGCATGATTGAAACCGAAGCCCCTAAACAAGCCTTCACTGTTCCCTCTGGTCAGGACCCAGAGAGAAATGAAATTGAGCCAGTCACAGATGGTGGGAGTCAAGCAAGTTCCCAGATTGTCATAACATCACTGGCAACCTCGTCCTTTAATGGAACGGATGGAGTGGTAAATAAGAACCTTCCAGAACCAGCAGCCACGACTGCTGGATCCAAACAACAGATGGCTTTCAAGCTGTTCACAGCTGCAAACACGGGACAGGCCTTTCCTGGAAAAGGTGATTCTGGAGATGAGAACAGTGGTAGCACACGTATGCCATTTGCTGGAATTAACAAAGGCATTACATTTGATGGCTACTTAGTTCCTGCCGTCTCACATACACCAAAGGGAAATGGCAGTGACCCAGAGAAGCACTGCTTTTGTAAAATTCCAGCAGCAGAAGGACAAAAGAGAGATCAAGGTAAAAAAAAAAAAAAGAAAGAAAGTAGGTAATTTTATCACTTAATGCCTTCAGGTTTTTGAAAACTACTTCTTCTTTTTTTTAACGAAGACCATTCATTTATTTCCCTAATTAAAAAAAACCGGATCAGTATCGTACTCAAAATCCTCCAAATCCAAATTCTCTGGGCAATGAAGTAAAAAGATATTCAGGAATGGTAAATGAACAAATTGTGTTCCTTTCAGTAGGCAAATCACCAGGGTTCAAAACTCCGAATGTCTGCTAATGTTTACTAATCTGTGGGTTGCCTTTATCCCCTTGTGCTCAGCTCTTCGATCACATGTTTGACCCACAGCACTGTGGGATAATTCTCATAATCCGCTAGTGCTTTTGTTATATATTGTTTGCAACCGTATAAAAAGTCCAAACATTCTGTTTACCCCAGGATCTATCTGCAAACACAGCTTGATTTGGCTTGAAGTAACTATAGTCTGAGGCAATCAAAAATAAATACATTTTGAATATATTCTAGGAAGCCATGGGATTCCTTAGAAGTTTAGCAGGAATAAACTGAGAAGATAAGAATTTATCCCCTAAAATGTACAGCTGTAATAATGTTGGATATTGAGGACAATTATGAGATATAACAAAACTGGTCAATTCTTTGAGTGAATTATTTAGGATCATAATCTCAAACAGTCCCTCAAATTCTCAGGATGACCCCACAAGAAATCCTGGGCAGAAACATTTTTTAAAAATTGACAGAAATAATATGATAAATGAAATGAAAGCGTATCTCTCTCCTCGGGTTAAATCAAATTTGATTTTGAGTGGCTGGATCATCTTCTGCTTGCTGATTTACATACATTACTCTTGAAATTCAAATAGTGAACTTTGTACGGTATTTAAAACTTTGTAATGAAATAAGAAAAGATGACTTAAGTAAACTAGCTGGGCTGCATGTACTTCGCTAAATTGAGGCTTTTCAGACGTCATGGATTTCACATTCAAAATTTCCAGTGATTATGGCCAACAGCTGGTACAATTTATCGCATTGAATGGATTCTAACAAAGCAGTATTTTGATGTTTCCATAGGTTCAGAGGTAAAAGCATTCAACAGGGATAAAATGAAGGGTATAGAGCCAAATAATCAATGCAGTCCAAATGCACGGCTGGCTTCACATTATCCTCTTTTGCCAATTTACGTTCCAGATTGCTAGCTGCTGTTGGCAGGAGATGGACAAATACTGGAACATCATTAGAAAAATCTGCTGGATACTGTAGAGTAATATTCCATATTACCATTACCATTATTTTGTTTCCTTTTGGAGTAAGAAGTGTTATGCACAGTGCAGGAAGAATGTAAAGAAAGGAAAGAAGATAAGGAAAAGGAAAGAAAGTATAATTAGTCTACTTCTGAGCCACACTTTTCTATCCATTTTTGTTTCTACCACATAATGATTTAGAGATTGCCTTTGTACTTTAGGCTTCTCACCTTTTCCTTTAAAAAATCTTATTTCTTCAATTCCATCCAACCGTGACATTTTTAAAAAACTTTTTTTTAATCCTGCCTTTATTATTTTTATAAATAATTCAAGGCAGTGAACTCCTGGCTCTATTTTCCCCACAATAACTATCCTGTGAATTGAGGGGAGTGGTGGAGAGAGAGAGAGAGAGAGAGAGAGAGAGAGAGAGAGAGAGAGAGAGAGGGAGAGAGAGAGAGAGAGAGACTGGCCCCAAATCACCCACCCTTTTTTAATGACTAGGCAGGATTAGAAATCATCATCTCTTGCTTTCTAGCCTGGTGCTTTAACCACTAGTTAATTCTCAATATTCTTCTCTTTCCTCTAAGCTTATTTGTGTTTCCATCATGGAAGCATCTATTTTGCATCCCTTGCATACTTCAAGCCAATCAAAATTGATAAGCATGGAAAGATTTGACCAGAGAACTTGTTTGAACTTCCTAATACAGAATTCATTAGACTTTTGAATATAAGTAAACCAACATCAGCTTTCTTCTAGATTGTATTAGAAGCTGTTTCCTTACTGTTTGCCATTGAATTTCTCTTTATAAATTAATGTATTTTAGGAATGTCACCATTTTCATTATGGTCAAGAGGTTGATAGCTCATATAGTCTCGTGATTTCTGTGAAATGGAACAGCTTTGCTCTTTGCTGCCATTATGCATATGGTAGGATTGGCCCTATCAACAATGACATTTCTAAATAATTACTTCTGAGAAATTATGCTATTCCTTTCTCTCCAAAGATGAAAGTGGCATATGCCACCCAGCCAGTACTACATACTGTATGTTAAAATAAATCTCTTTATTTGATTTTTCCATCCTTGATTAAGGTATTTCTTTCAATATCTTTAATAATGGATGAATATGTTCTCTTTGATTCTAGATATGGCAAGACTAGATAGAAGAAAAGGACAACTACGACATTTGACAGGCGTTGGACAAGAGCTAATGGCAGAAAGGGGGGATTCCAGTTCCAAATTACTTAGTGGTCAGACAGAAGAACATGATTGGTCTAATAATTCTCCTTGTCAAAGAGGTGAGAAAGGTGAGGTTGGGAATCGCGGCCCCAGAGGTTTTCGGGGGCTGAAAGGAGACAAAGGAGAAAATGGCGAATTGGGTTCAAAAGGTGACCTTGGACTGAAAGGGAATCCTGGAGAGAAAGGACAAAGAGGTCTTATGGGTAGAAAAGGAGCAAAAGGCTTAGCAGGGTCACCAGGATCCCAAGGGCCTCTTGGTCTCAAAGGAGATCCAGGAAGACAAGGACAAATGGGTTCTTCTGGAATCCAAGGAATGCCTGGTCTTCGAGGACAAAAAGGAGAGAAAGGGCAAAAGGGGAGCTGCAAAGCAGTTGAACCCACTGCATTTTCAGCTGGCCTCCAGAAAAGGAGAAGTTTCCCACTGCCAGGATCTCCAGTGAGATTTGATAAGGTTTTTCTGAATGAAAATGATGGGTTTCATACAGAATCTGGCAGATTTATAGCCCCCACTGGAGGTACCTATTATTTTAGTTATCACCTCAGCATTTCTAGCAAATCACTAAAGGCTGCACTTTTTCATAATGGCCAACAAATTCAGCAAGCGTCTGGTGTAAGACAGGCCCCACATGACATTAGTCAGGTCTCTGGGTCAATGTTGGTTCAACTTTCTGAAGATGATGAAATTTGGCTTCAAATTTTGAATGCCTCTCAAAATGGCCTAGTAGCTGATGAAAGTACTGATTCAGTATTTTCAGGGTTTTTGCTATACCCTGATTAATAAAAGAAAGGAAACATTAATATTAATGGAAATACAATATCCATCACTTAAAGTTGGACACAATGTCAGTTTATTTAAATCAATAGGCTTTGTGTCTCCAATTGCATTTATTCCTATTTATGATACTGATGGTATTTTCTCATTTTTCTCTATTGCCCATTTTCAAATGCATTGATAAAATTGATTGTGCTAGTAGCAAGTTCTTATAATTAACTTGATAATTTTTTTAAAAAAATCAAGCCTGACTTTGTGGATATTAGGAATAATTTCCCATATTCTTGTCTCCAAACAATACAAAACTAGTTTGTCATTACTTTCCTCTGGAATTTTTAAAAAATTTCTTAGTTTAGCTTACATGGCTGGTAGTTCCATACAAGTGCTAATCAGGCCCTTAATACTGCTTTCAAGTTTGTATATGATTGGCCAGTGGCTACCACTAGAAACTCTAAAATAAAGTTATTGATACTGTACAGTACTGTACTAGATTTCTAGTTCTTGAATGTTAAGGATAAATCCTTTAGTTTTTAATTGACAATAGCTTTATAGACATTTTAATGGACAATAGCCTGTAGTTTTCTGATTAGCCTGTAATCTCTATGCTTTGCAGATCAAGAAAAAAATCAATTAGTGGTCAGTGATTTAGATCAGAGCAAAAAAAACCAAGGTTCAAATATCCAGTTTTCCATATTATTCACCAGGCATCCTCAGTCTTGTTTCCATCTCTTAGCCTACTGTTTCTCACAAAAATGTTGTCAAGATAAAAGAGAAGAGCTAGATATACCAGAACTACTATGGGGAAATGGTTATAATGTATAAATAAAAAAATGAAGACACTGATTAAGAGTTGCATATGATTATATATGATTTTGTTGAAAAATTCTAGGAAACAGTTTTTTTCCTTTATTAAAAAAATTAAAAATATGACTTTTGATTCTAATACCTTTCAAATTGTATGGGATTATGTAATGTAACTTGTCGAAAGACTGATTAAAGATAGTTATTAAAGTGTAGACACCAAGCGGGCAGGAATAGCCAACACTCCAGAAGATAGGCTCAAGATACAGGAGGATCTTGACAGACTTCAACATTGGGCGCTATCTAACAGAATGAAATTCAACAGTGAACAAAGTAAGGTTCTACATTTAGGCAAGAAAAACAAAATGAACACGTACAGTATATGTGGTATCTTGCTCAATAGTAGTAAATGTGAGATGAATCTTGGAGTCCTGCTGGACAACCATTTAGATATGAGCCAGCAGTGTGCAGCAGCTGCCAAAAAAGCCAACAGAGTTCTGGCCTGCATAAACAGAAGGATGGAATCAAGATCATGTGAAGTGTTTATACCACTTTATAATGCCTTGGTAAGGCCACACTTGGAATACTGCATTCAGTTTTGGTCGACACTATGTAAAAAAGATGTTGTCACTCTAGAAAGAGTGCAGAGAAGAGCAACAAAGATGATTAGGGGACTGGAGGCTAAAACATATGAAGAATGGTTGCAGGAACTGGGTATGTCTAGTTTAATGAAAAGAAGGATTAGGGGAGACATGATAGCAGTGTTCCAATATCTCAGGGGTTGCCACAAAGAAGAGGGAGTCAAACTATTCTCCAAAGTACCTGAGGGTAGAACAAGAAGCAATGGGTGGAAACTAATCAAGCAGAGAAGCAATTAGAACTAAGGAGAAATTTCCTGATAGTTAGAACAATGAATCAGTGGAACAACTTGCCTGCAGAAGTTGTGAATGGTCCAACACTGCAAATTTTAAAGAAGATGTTGGATAACCATTTGTCTGAAGTGGTGTAGGGTTTCCTGCCTGGGCAGGGAGTTGGACTAGAAGACATCCAAGGTCCCTTCCAACTCTGTTATTCTATTCTAACACATACATAATGGATATAATAATAAATGCAAAGAAACATAATGATATAAATGTGTTCCAATCAATTAAATTTGCTGAATTTAAGATATGGTGCTATCATTTTTACTTGAAAATTCTTATTAAATAATTCTGGTAGACCAGATTAAGCATGAACTAGTGGTGTGTATGAAGAGAGAAAGAGAGACAAGACCACAGGAAATGACTTCAGTTTATGGTGTATTAATCAGGTCCACTTTTCCTTGCTACAATACATGAAGAATGATGAGAAACTGGGAAGAGTGCAGAGAAGAACAAAAAATATAATGAGGGGCTTGAAGGCTTAATCCTAAAAAGATCAGTTAACTGTTAAAAGAACTATACATATTTAGCCTAAAGAAGAGAAGGTGAAGAGGATGATAGCAGTCTTTGAATACCTGAACAGCAGTCATGGAGGTATAGATTATTCTCCACAGTTCCTAAAGGTAGGGCAAGAACCCATACTGGGTAGAAGTTTTACACATAGAGAAACTCTTTGTCTGGGATAGTCTGAAGACTCATTTCCTAGGCGGGGGATTGGACTAGAAGTCCCTTCAAACCCCATGGTTCTGCAAAAGAAGACCATTCAAAAAATGAACAAACCCCACCCTATGGTCTTATCTCTTTCTGCCTTCAGAACAAAAGCTTCCTTAAATAAGATTGTTGACTTTAAATAAGATTGTAGACTTTTAGGGAAACCCCTAAATGTATTGCGCTTTGATTTATTGTGATTTTTCTTTGAATGATAAAAGTCACACAAAGGATTTCTACAGATCCTTGTAGTCAGGCGAAACCTGACTCAAGTCCTAATGGATGATCACTTAAATATGAGCCAGCAGTTTTGCAGCAGCAGCCAAAAAAGCTAATACAATCCTTGGTTGTATAAACAGAGGCATAGAATAAAAATCATGTAAAGTATCAGTACCGCTTTATAAAGCCTTAGTAGGACCACACCTGAAATACTGCATATAGTTTTGGTCACCACATTACAAAAAAGATGTTGAGACTTTGGAAAAAGTGCAAAGAAGAGCAACTAAGATGATTATGGGCATTGAGACAAAAACATATGAAGAATGGTTGCAGGAATTGGGTATGGCCATTCAAAAGAAAAGAAGGACTAGGGGTGACATGATAGTAATACTCCAGTATTTGAGAGGTTTCCACAAAGAGGTGGGGGTCAACTTATTTTCCAAAGCATCAGAAGATAGGACAAAAAACATTGGATGGAAACTAATCAAGGAGAGAAGCTCATGGAAGTAAGGAGAAACTTCCTAACAGTGAGAACAATTAACCAGTGGGAACAGCTTGCCTTCAGAAGTTGTGGGTGCTTCATCAATGGAGGTTTTTAAGAGGAGACTGGACAGTCACTTGTCTGAAATGGTATCGGGTCTTCTGCTGAGCAGGGGGTTGGACAAGAAGACATCAGTCCTTTCCAGTTCTATTCTGATTGAACCATAATCTCCTACTCCCATTAAAAAAAAATTCTTTTAGTCAAGCATCACAACCAATTTCATTTTTTTAAGGGAAACTGTCTCTATTATACTTCTATGCCAACGTTAATATGGTTAATATGATACTGGCATACTTTTCTGTAGTTCCAGTCATTGGAAGAATGGCCACTAATGGCTGTAGTCATGGTGGGTGGTAGGGTTGGGAAAGGGTTGTGTGCCCACTGCTTATATAAACCAAAGAAGGTTTTAATACAACTGATGGCAAAACTGGACTAAATGGATTCAATTTGGTTTCCTGATCATGTTAACTATATGCTTTCTCTAGTACAGTTACTGTAGGTCACAGCAGACGCTAAATGAGGATTTGCTTCTGCCCAGGAGCTAGAAGACACAGTGAAGGAAAATCAAAGTCTCACAATGGCATGATCAGCTCCATTATTGCTTTGATTTGAAATAAATTGCAAAAATGGCAATTTACCCCTCAAAACAATTCAGTGTCATGGTGATGGGTAAACCTGGAACTGATTCAGGAAAAGAGCATAGAGTTTGTACTGAAGGGCTACATATGAATAAATATGTGTTTGCTGATAAGAGAAAATAAATAAAGTATATTTCTAATTATATCATTCTAATTCTATTTTTATTCATTATTCATTCTTATTCATTATTCATTCCTACTCATTATTAAGAATTCTATTCTTATTCTTATTCTATTTTTATCAAGTGTAAGTGAAGAAAAATAATGAAAATTCTTTAGCCTGAACAGTGGTTCTAGCAAATATGATGAAGTTGGTGACCTTTAAAATTGCACACAGGCCAAAACACAAATTCAGAGAACTAGGGCAGCAAAAATTAGAATAAGATAAAGATGATATCAAAACAGTTGGTTCATATCACGTAGGGATGAACTTTTTGATTGTTTTCCATCTGATAATGTG